TTTAACTCAATACACCAACCAAATTTATAATATTGTTTGATATAATAACAGAAAAATAATGCTTAAAAAATGTAATATTTCCTTTGTTTTGTAAGGAGTCAATAGAGAAGAAAGAGAGAAGTACCTTGTGGGTTTTCATTTTGTAGCCTTTAGCAGCAAAGACAGTGAAAGATTGGAGTCTTTGAGGGGCAGGGGTGATAGTGCAAAGCTTATGGGAAACAAATGAAGGGAACCCAGAAATGCTCTGAGTGGAACTCAGTTTCAAGGCCTTGCCCAACTTGTTGAATTGAGGGAGATGGAGTGAGCCGCGCGAGAGTCGAGTGGAGGAGGGGTGGTAAGAATGGCAAAACGGTAAATTAAAAGACATGGTCGTTAAATTCAGAGAAGAAGCCATTGATGATTGATGAGTGTTGTTTCGTTGAGGCTAAGGTTATACTTGTGGGAGGGGATTGGTAATTGCATTTACGTGGGAGGAAGTGGGTTTGGATAGAACGGAAAAGTGCAGCCTTGACATTGCATCCTCATGGAATGTCATGGACCAGCGGAACGTGGGCGTTTGTGGCTGTAATGCGTTTGATTCCAAAACTTTTACCTCTCCCTGTTCTATGCAGAGAAATGTTAGTAACACTTTTACATAGAGACAGTAGTTGATAATTTATGTGATAAATTTTAATATATATTTAAAGAATATATATTATTTATTATAATAATTATAAAAAGTATGCTTAAAATATTCATTTATAAAACCTTAGAATAAATAAATATCTATGAATATTATTTTTTCATAAAATTACCAGTGACAAATAATAATATTAAATAATTTTTATTAAGAAGGAAATAAAAAAATCTCAACCTGCAAAATAAACATTTCATGGATGGCATTTCCTCTTCCAATTTTCTATTCAACTTAATCACAGAATAAAGCAACAAAAAGATAATATCTACTCTACCAAAAGTAAAAGATATGGTTTAATAGAAAAAGGGTTCAATCTCATTGTAATTATTGAAGGCATGGGATTTTTTATAATTATAGACATCAATCTTGAGAACATAGTTGAGAGCAATACCCTTGGTTCGGGTTTTGTCTGCATCAACCCATTAAATGGGCGATTGAGCTTTCTTCCTTACACATCTATTAAGACAAATCACCCTCACTTGTTGCATGGTTATATTGAACACAAATAACTTCAGAGTACATCATCTGCATTGTGCAGGCCAAAAGAAAACAACAGCCCATTCCAGTTTCTGGGTGTTACATTCACAGCATGTCAACTTTGCGAACCAAAAACCTTAGTTGTTCCACTCCCACAAAGGTGAAGAATGACGGGATGAAATTCAGTCGCCTCATGTTACAGCTCACAGAAAGCATTGATAAATTCTATGCTAACATTGTCTCTTTCCTGTCTTTTGTGTCTATTTCTTAATATTACGACCTTGTCAATATGGCTATAGATTCCCACTCCAAGCTACATATAACATCCTGCATGATATTGCATATAACTGTAAGAAACATAATTTATGCTTTTTAGAGTTGAAATCCAGTGGGATAGTCAAGTTTCTATTTACCGAGGGGTTCTGCTGGTCAATGTCAAAGCTATTGATGGCACAGGGTTCCGCTAACAGCTCAACAGGTTCTTCACCTATGCAGTTGATAGCATATTATGCATGTTAGTCACATGTGAATCCTTGAAGAAAAGGATAAAACGTAGCATTCATCAGATCAATCCAAATACAAATTAATATATCTCATCCTTAACTATCAGTCTGCCCTAGCTACAGATGATAATTCAACAATACTTGCTTAAAAAACTGCTTACCTTGTTCTATAACGGCAAGAATGCCATCTTCTGAACAGATCATAACAGGTAGAATTCGTGTGGAGGAGATGTTGTTAATGTTCGAAGACCTTGTGTAGCGGTCATACTGAACTTCCCAAACCTCACTTTCAGATAGCAAAGGCAGGACAGTCTGACCTGTCCCTCCACCAGAAAGAACAATAGGCTGTTGTTGTGCACGAAGATCCCAAGCAAATACAGTCCCTGACGAGCCTCCTGCCTAAAAAATCTTAGAAAGATTGAAAATCAGCACAAGACCTCAAGCAAATAGAAAATGTTAAAATCTTAGTTTGAAGAGAAGGCTAGCATGGATATGGAGTAGCCATTAAAGAATCCAACAAACAGCAATTTCAATTTGATAAAAAATAACCTCTTAAAGTTTTTCTCAACATGGTTTTCATGCAGGTAAACAGATCAGATTTAAATCTTTTCTTAAGAAACAGTTAAAATGAGGTAATATACTGACATCACAAAGAATGAATAACCTTGGTTGGAATAGCACCTCAGGACATCACTTTGTAGTTCATATAACTCTCCCTATTGCTTAAATACATAAGAAAGAACTAAAATGTTGTATGAACTGAACAACTATGTAGCCAAAAAATTAATGATCAATTGCATGCACAGAATTCAATACAATTAACATTAATGTTAAAAAATCATTTTATCTAACAAAGTATGGTCCTCATCCTTTATTTATTGTACATAAGAATGTTCAACTATCTACTGCTTATGCCAGCAGCAAACAGCAACAAATAATTCCACCAATTACTACATGGTCCAGTACAACCTAGCAACAGCTAATATTAACTGTTGCTACCCTTTAAAATAATCACCCATATTGTTTATGCAACTTCTATCAGCAACAACATTTACAAAGAAAGTAGAGATACCAAAAAACTACCAGATCTAATCAGCAAGTTATTCAGAAAATAAGAAAGAGGAAGAAAGATAAAGGCCGGTTTTCTATCCTTTCTTCCTCTTATTCTTCTTTATTTTATAATCTTTTTACAATAGAAAAGGGAAAAATACCAGATGCTAACAAAAAAAATTTAGAAAGTAAAAAAGAGAGAAAGAGGCTGTTTTTTGTCTCTCTTTCTTCTTTTCCCCCTCTTTTGAAGAAGAAAAAGAAAGAAAAGGAACAGTTAATTTATCTCATATGTTAGTAGTCATTTCACCAAAAGATAAGAATAGTAAAAGAGAAACCAAAAATATATCACTGATACCAGTATTAATAAATTAATTGCTACAATGTAGAACTAAAACATTGAGAAAGGAAAAGCCATCTTACCAGACAAGTGTGCTTCCGTGATGGATGAATATCAATCGAGTGTACAATTCCAGATGTTTTTCCTTGACACCTGCAAGATAACCAACCATTAAAAGAATACATCATTTAATATGGTAGCATGGTAAGCATGTTTAATCTATCAGTTGTAAACATCATGATCGCGGTTAATGAGCCATTTGAATATTCCTTTAAGAAGCACAGATACTCAAAAAGTTCATAAGACAAAAGGAGAGAAGTGACCCAGACAGTTTTCCCCTTCTAAAGGTTCAAAAAGATGCAGCCAAACCAATCCTATAAAACTGAAATGCCAAGAGAAAATCTGTTTGTACAGGTTTTCAAGTCATCTACAATAACCAAAGACCATAACTTTTCTATCATCAAATGGAAGCCAATTGCCAACAGGGAGGAACCCTTTGGATATAATTAGTTTTCCCTTCTGTCACATTATTCACAGAGTTTCCACCTAGACGTGTGTGTATAGTTGCATGTACCTACATTGATAATGAGGTGATGTTGACAGTGAAGGACACTCAAAGCTGCCTCGTTAAAAGGCCCGCGGAAGATTAACTGTGGAAAAGTAGGATGGCCAGCAAAAGCAAAAATAGGGTTACATTGTGGTGAAGGCAGCAATGTGAATACCACAGCATCCAGCAGCACTGACATGGTGACAGTGCTGTGGTACCTATTTGAAGGCTATATTGAATCTCATCCAAACATAACCAGCAGCAGCTATCTTCATAGACAAATTACTGATTTCATAACTCATAACCACATACCAATAATATGTTGTTGACTTGTTGTGTAGAAAACAGATGCATAATTCTTATTAGGAAGAACTCCTTTATAACTTCAACATAAATGCTCCAATCTTGATAGCTAATAAAAAAAATGTTGCAATAACCTAATGTCTAAAACTCCAATTACAAAAAATACATATTTCTATTACCATTCATTATTGCAAAATGCTTTTGATAAATCTCTCAGTTTACACTGTGGTGTTACAATTCACATAGACAATCCTTATGAGCATCAAAAGACACCAATGGACAATGGAGCCTCCATTTTTCAGATCATCAAATTATCCTACTAATATCATATAAATTATAGAATTTGTCCAACTACTGTCATAATTCTGATAAATCTCTCAGTTAACACTGTGGTGTTACAATTCACATAGACAATCCTTATGAGCATCAAAAGACACCAATGGACAATGGAGCCTCCATTTTTCAGATCATCAAATTATCCGACTAATATCATATAAATTATAGAATTTGTCCAACTACTGTCATAATTCCGAAACATATCAAAAATCATAAAAAGCCCATTAACATGCAACTTAGGAAGCAACTGATAACAACATAATAAAAGCATATGCAACACCAGAATTATTGCCAAATTGACCTCCATGGTGAAGAGCATCAATTTTATTTCTACCCACATGCTAAGAGAAATTGGCTAATCACATAACATTGCATAAATGCAAAGTAAAATTTGTTAAAATCATTATAAGCTATATCACTACATTCAACAACATAATTCTTGTTTCACAACAAAACCAAGCAAATCCACTCACCAGTTCCCCTTAAACTGTGAAACAGGTCCACCAGACCTCCTCTGATCCCCACTGTAAACCAAAGCCAAACCCACCAGTCACAAACTCACTCGGGGACGCCACCTAACCGCTGTATAACCCACTAGCCCATTCGCGTCGAAAATTCTTCGGTAACTCAGCTTCGAAGAATTCCCAACGACACTCACCAAATTAACCCTCCATCTTCCCCAACACTCACGCACTCACTCCCACTCTCCCTCAAATCCACGGCCGCCACATGCCCTATATGAAACTCGTCCCGGAAATCGACGCCTCAGATTCGATCACCGCTCCCTTTATCAAATCGGAGACCAAAATGTGAAGCGAGCCCGAGAAAGTAGCGGCAGCGAGGATGGGTTGGGGGGTGGATTGGGCGGTCCTGAGGGATGAAATGCGGGAAGGTGGAGTCCATGATGATTGAGGGATTAAGGTTGGAGATGGGTTTTGTACGCTCGAGTTCAGACAGTGGATTTCGATAGAGGGAGAGTTGGAATCCGTGTCGAAATACGCAATGGCTGCGAATCTGTCGAAGGCGGAAACCGGCGGGAGCCAGCGGACGGCGTCAATGTACTTAGATTGCGGGATTCTATGGACTTGTGAGGGGTTTCGGGTCCTGCAATGCCCATTGTTTCAAGAATTTTAAGGGGTTTTAAAAGGGGGAAGGGGGGTTGTAATTTTACAAGGAAGGGGAAATGGTGAGTGTTTTGGAGGAAGGGGTTTTGGGTGGAAGGAGGGAAGGCAAGGGCTTTAGGTCGGGTCGAATTTGATTTAAAGTGACATTTGCCAGCACGGGCGGTGCGGTGAGGAGCCAAACGCTCCCTGAATCATTTTCAGTTTTTAAATTAGCATTTCGATTATTTTAAAATTTAAATTATTTAAATTTGATTCTCTATTTTTCTTTTCCAGTTTAAAATCGTCCTGAATTTTAAAACTCGCAGTTCTCTAATATTCTTTTATTGTTTAGTAAACTTTTTTTGTTACAATATTTTAAGAAACTTATTATTTATGTAAAATTGCTAATGCTCAATTCTTGCTTATCTTTAAATAAATACAAATTCTCAATTATCCATTATATATATATATATATATATAGAGAGAGAGAGAGAGAGACATGAAAGCATGTATATATACGTTTCTGGTCGTTGAAACTTCTGTGAAATTACATAAACGGCCTTGTGGTAGAGGATTTGAATGGATAGGGTGATGGGCGTTTTTCATTGGAGGGGAAATGCTGGTGATACACAAAAGCCTTGTCTTCAAAAGCATCGACTCTTATCTTTGTGAGGAGAATTGGCAGAAGACTTGTTACCAAAATGACTAAAAGGAAAGATCCGCCAGAAAGTTCAAGAACTCAGCAGCAACCCATTTTCCCACTCAGGGTTTCCAACACAATTCTGGCTAGGTCTCTGGTTGCTGTGTTTGGACTTGGCTTCATTGATGCTGGGTAACATTTCTTCTTTCTTTGCTCCCTTCAAAATCTTGGATCACCTCAATTTACTGGTCAAATCCATCTTTTATATATACATGCAACAAATTGTGTAAGCACAGGTATAGTGGGGATTGGTCAAGGATTGGAGTGATCTCAAAGGAGGTTGAGGACCTGCTAAAGATTGCTGCCTTTGTAGTTGTTCCTCTGTGTATCTTTCTCATATTTTCTTTTTCCAAGGACTCTGCTGAGACTTGACTGTTGGGTTGGGCTAGGAAGATAGCATTCTGAGTTATAACAAAAGAACACTGCCATGTAGTCGGAATAATAGCTTAAAAGTTCAAGAGCTACGACTCTACAAGTTAGAAGCGTACAGACAGAACAGAAGGTACTGCCAGTATATACTTGAACCATTGCATCCTGTATGAAGTATTCAATGTGCTACCAAACGTTGCTGGAACTTTCTGCAATTTTCCTTCTCAGATAAAATGAAAGGGAAAAACCAAACTGTTGTTTTTTTATTATCCATTTTTACCAAATAAAAAATAAAAAGCAAAAATATTAACCAAATAGCGTCTTAATAAAAGTTCCAGATGCTGTTCGACACAATAGCCATTTTTAAAGGGAAAAATGGGATCCGATCCCACTGCTCCTTCAGAGATTGATGCCAACAATTTTATTTTATCGGGGATGGAGATCAATGAATTTATTTGTTTTTGAATAAAGAGATATATTTTATATCATTAAATTAAATACTTAAATGTGAATTTTTTTTTTAACTCTATTTTGTTTCTGTTTTTATTTCTCGTTTTTTGCTCTAAAAAAAAAACATTCTGGAATATTATACATTAAAAAAACATGTAATTTAATTTATAAATTATAAAATGCATGGTTTTAGATTTACATATATTAATTCTGTTATAAGATCGTTACATTTTTAATGATTTTTTCATTTTTAATTAATTATAATTTTTTTCTTTATCATAATTAATTTTTTTTTAAAAAATAAAATGTAAATAACAAAAATATTAAAGATACAAATTAATTTACTAGCTTTGTAGTTAAGTAATAAGGGTTTAGTGTTATAGTCTAATGGCAAGTTATGTGAATCTTACATCAAAAAAAAACTTTTATCGAAACATTAAAAGAGATTGTTATGGTTCTAGAAAGAAACTATAAACTCCACATCAACTTTGTACTAAAGTAGCATTAGGGATTAAATGATTTACACCATCTTCAACTACAGTTAATACCAGAGTAAGTTGGTGGTGGTGTGGATTGTGACAGTTGTTATCAAAGTAAATTTCAAAATATTAGCGATGTGTCACTAAAGACAAGCACATCAAAGAAAAGCTCTTAATGAGGAGCTAAGTAAACCATCTTCAACTTGTGAGGTATTTTTTGTGAATAAAATCGAATCAAAATGAACAATACCTTACAAATTGATATAAATTATAACATTTTAACTAATACCAAAGTAAATTAAAATAGATAATACTTTACAAATTGGTATCGGTGTTGGTGCGGAAGGTAACACTTTTGCTGGTATAGCCTCAAGAAGGCAACCACAATATAGAACGAGACGTTTGCGGTCCTAATGTCTGCGAACAAACACCAAGAGTTAGCCAACTTTCTCATTTGAAGTCGGCTAATCCTATTCTTCCCTTTCCTCCCTCATGTCTCGAACTACGAACAAGATAACAGTGAAATAAGCAGACGATATAACTGCATAAGGTGTTCATTTGGTGAATTGTTTGCTGCATACATTGTGTTTATGCATGTAGTTATGCCATTCTGTATGTTGAGCATTTTGAAACTTGAACATGTTACGTGCGCTGCTAGAGTTCACTGCCTTTTTGTTTCGATCCTCTGTCTCCATTGCTATAAGCTCATCTATCCAGGGGAGAAGGTATTATGAGGATCTGATGCATATATATACTTGAATAATTAACCAATAAATAACTTCTTCAAACGGATAGAGTAAGATTTATAAGATTAGGTATATGGTTGTTGCAAGAATCTACACAAGAAAATTTTTGGCTTGGATGGTTTTTACGCAGGGGACTATGTGCCTGCTTCAGTTCCGTATCTAAAGGAGAAATCTGCTTGGTATTGTTGACTATGTGCCTTGGTGTGGATGGCTGTTGATGCTGGTGGTCCTGATCCGGTGAAGATGGTAACGGAATGAGGGGGATGAATCTGTTTTGCTCCTTGGGTTATTTTCTGGTTGCCTAAGGGAAGCTTGTCTTTAATGCTGCCTCTAGGTTCATCCCGTTGACAGCAGCATCAGTTATTTTGCTTTATCTTTACCATACGCAGGGCAAGTCAATCCAGGGTAATTGTCTTGCATGGGCTATGCTGCATTTTTTTTTTCTATACTTTTTCTTGAGCAATGAAATCATTAGAATTATCTTTTTAAAAAAAAGAGATCTATAAGATTAGATTCGAAACAAAAGCTAGATCAAAATCCTTTGTAAAGAGAGAAATAATCAAACTAACAAATCAATCATTTAATTGAAAGAGTTCAAGACAAGATGAAGGTCAAATGGTAGGATTTGAACCACATCAAACCTAACGATGTCGTCGTCTAGCCGGGTTTTGAAACTTTAGTTTGTCCAAATATTATAGAGGAAATTCACGAAAGAAGGATATATATATATATATATATATATAGGGAAAATATTTAGGTCTTTTTGTTCATAAATATTATGTTTGGTTTTTTTTTGTAGCCATGCACGTGGCAGTGCACTTGAAATAATATGCAACACACTCATCTTATCTTTCCACATTTTCATTCTAAGATCATGTCTTGTCTTCCTTAAGCTTCTGCTTTGACCACGCATCAGCCGTAATACACAAATTCTATGTTTTACCCCCCAAAAAAAAAACAGAAAGAAAATCTTCCCTTGTAATACTATCTTAGATTTTCTATTCCATATCTAGGATAACTTAAGAGAGCCATTTACCAAAAAAAGAACATCAAATCCGACAGACTAAAGATTAGATCCCTTGAAGTCATCAACATATTACAGAAAGAGTTTTGTTCATTGCTTTTAGCTATGAAATTAATGGTTTGTTTCGTGAATATGTAGTAGGTGTTTAATTAGGGGGAAATTTAATGACAATCCTTGTGTGTACAGTATCTCTCTGACTTCACATGATTGCATACAAAAGTAAACATTCAGCAGCTGGCTAGCTATGTATAGCGAGTAATCAGTGTGTCACGTATCCATTGGATTGAAATTTCAGTCAACCAATTCCAACCTAGTAGATGCTGATAACCCTTCGATCAGTTGTTTCTACTTTGGAATGACAACCTTCCAAAATCTAGAGGAATGGAAAAAACGAAAAGAAAAAGAAAAGAGTCAAAATCAAATAAAAATTAGAGAATGAGAGATGATGAGGTGTTCAGGAAGGGGGAGAAAAATGAGAGGTCTGAAATTGCTAGCCTTACATTCTGGTTTGCTTGTGTACAAGAAAGCACCTGGCTTACCTTATCCTATCCACCTCTCTCTCTTTTCCCTCTCTCTCTCTATATCCTCTTCCCGAGCAACAGTACTCTCCTATCTCTCTCATTCTCTCCCCTTGTCCCCAGCTTTTCTTTCTTTCACTTGCACGTTTTAGTTTTCCCCTGATGCTCACCAATATCATATTCCCTCTTATTCCTTCACCATGTAAAATCTCCTTTCCAGCTCTTTTAAGTGCCTTTAATTAAAACCCATGATTCAATTCAGAAAAACCATAAACAATCACATCACAATATCTCATCTGCTGCTCATTCAATGCTCTAGTTAATTCACATTGCTATTGGTTTTTGCTTGAGCTGCTTCCAGCAGTTTCATAATTTTCTTCTCTCTTGTTTAGCTGTTCTATATATCTGTTTCTTTATTGAAACTTTTGAGTTTTTTGTGCTGAGATTTTACTGTCCACTTTCAAGTAACTTTCCGGTTTTTCTTATCCTTTACTATGAACAGAAAAGTTTTTTGAGTGTTGGACGGAGATTTCTCTCAAAATTTGCATGCAGAGAAATTTAGTCGATAAATTCAATCTGGGTCATAGTTATTATCGTCAAAGAACGGATTGAAACATTCAACACTTGCATCTTTATAAGCAATCCCACACTTGTGGTGCACAATGGCTCCCAAGACAGGCAAGACAAAACCACACAAAGCCAAGGGTGAGAAGAAGAAGAAAGAAGAGAAAGGTGTTTCCTCTCCTTGAACTCTCTCTCCCTTTTCTTTCCATTTCTTCTCCTATAGAGTTAGTAACTGTTTGGTTGCTAAGAAAAATTAGGAGGAAAACCCAAGGAAATAACCTCTAATTAAACTTATACCTATGTTTGTTTGATTGGCGTTTGTTGGTTTGACGAGTCATACCAATTCAAAAACGTCTGGTTCAAATTTTTTTGCTTATGATATTATATACTTTCTACTTCCATTTTCTGAAACCTTATCTCGTATGCTCCATTGTCTCAACAGTTTTGCCGACTGTAATCGAAATCACCGTCGAAACACCAGAGGAATCCCAAGTCACTCTCAAGGTATCCATCTATCTATCTATATGTATGTATCCCGATCTTACCAATTTGTTTAACAATACATAATGATATTTCATGCCTTATATATATATATATATGCTTAAGAAATGCAATATATATATAACATGTGTATTTGTCACATTTAGTTCTTAATTTTGGTTAGAGGTATGAATTATGGTTTCCCACGAATGGGCGTGGTTTTATTCAGGGGATATCGACGGACAGGATCTTGGATGTAAGAAAGCTTTTAGGGGTCCACGTCGAGACATGTCATTTGACCAACATCTCCATATCTCACGAGGTAGGTATTATAAACACACATTTTTTTTAAAAAAAAAATTTTTTTTATTTTCCTGCATTTTAAATCACGTGTTTTGCACATGCATAAATAATTTTCTTCTTCTTTTTCTTGCAATTCTCGTGCACAACATTTTAGTGTTAAAAACTATGTGAACCTGAGGTTAGCTTTCTAGTTTGAGAATGGCATCCCCATCACCCAAAAACTGGACCCGCCGGCCGTTTACCAAAGAAATAAATGTCCCCTTTTTGTAACCACTGGCTCCGTTAAATCCTAAATTCCTGAGCTGTGGTCCTTACCCAATTGCCCATCAACGCTCTGAGTTTATTTTCATTGAGATATCTAGCTTCTTTTCACATTTTCAAGCGTCATTAACTTTAGGAATTCTTCAATAAAAAAGAAATATAATTTAGTTACTCTTATTTATTACTACTTGAGTATTGCATCATGTTTATAATTAATCATGTGATATATTTAAAAAATAATAGATTATTATTAGATATAAAATTCTTTAACAAATAACTGAATGACACGTGGAAGGAATGAAGAAAGAAATTCTACATTCATTTGTCAGGAATTTAACCCCAATTTATTTTTTTTTTTTTGCCGTTTTCTTTAAAAGAGGAAGTGTATTAGCTTACTGTTTTTTTTTTAAATTTTAATTTAATGGTGTCACGTTCAAATGGAAATAGAATAGGACTAAAAGTTTACCGGGAGTTCTCCCTGATCACAGGGTTTGCCATTACCCCATAAGCTCAAATTTTTAAAATATTTATGATTAAATTAAAATATGTATATAAATATTTAATTTATTAATAAGTATACGATGTTTATATATTATATATTTTTAAATCTGATTAATGTTAGTAAAATGATAAATTGCAAAATAATTCATCTTGTGCAGTTTTAAATTTGATTTATAAATTTCTTTTCTGTTCATCTTTAACAAAAAATTTAATAAAAATGGAAATTGAGTTGGAATGGACCCAGGAATGATTCTTTCTAACGGAATTAACAACCAGACTCAAGTGAAATTAACGGTCTGATATCTCGCGCGCGAAATCCCCTACAGGTACGAGGACCTCAACTCAAGGACTCCGTCGACATCGCTTCCCTCAAACCATGCCACCTCTCCATCATCGAAGGTAACGTCCTAATCCGGCGGTCACAATTTCTCATACCCCAGAAAGTATATCTTGTTAAAGAAAAAGAAAAAATTGGTGCAGCGGACTACACGGAGGAGCTAGCGATCGCGCACATCCGACGACTCCTCGACATCGTTGCCTGCACAACCTCCTTCGGTTCGCCCAAACCTGCCGCTCGAACCGTTCCTAAAGAACCGGGCTCTAAGGAATCCGCTGCTGCCGATGACGGTCCAAGCCATGGGAGTGATTCTTCCGACAACTCGAAGGCGAAGGAAAAAACCGAAGCGGCGGCGCTGGCGGTGATGTCCATGTGTCCTCCGCCGCGGCTTGGCCAGTTCTACGATTTCTTCTCCTTCTCTTACCTCACCCCTCCTATCCAATGTAAGTCTTTTTTTCTTTGTAGCCATTAACTGGTTTTATTCTATTTTTTTTTTCAAAGTTAAACTCCATTTTTATATATTTATGTTATTGCAGATATTAGAAGATCAACTCGTCCATTCCTGGAGGATAAAACAGAAGATGACTTTTTCCAAATTGATGTATGTCAAAGTGGGATTCTGTACTTTGAAGTCTTATTGTATTTTTTTGCTTTCAAAAATAGGGGGCTAACTTGATTCTTTGGGGGTCCAACAATATTTGCAGGTACGAGTTTGTAGTGGGAAACCGGTGACCATAGTTGCCTCTCGAAAAGGGTTTTACCCAGCCGGAAAGCGCCCTCTTCTGTGTCACTCTCTGGTCACTCTTCTGCAGCAGATTAGCAGGGTCTTTGATGCTGTAAGTTCCATTTCATCTCTTCTCGTTCAAATTCTTTCCATTAGGTATCCCCTTGGAGATGTTTACTTGTTCTATAAAATGCATTTGTTACTATTACTATTATTATTATTATTATTATTGGGGGGTACATAATGTATTCGTTTTAAGGAACTCTACTTTTCCTTGCAGGCGTACAAGGCTCTTATGAAAGCTTTCACTGAGCACAATAAAGTATGTAAATTTTCAGTGGAGTTGCTGCATTTTGATATTAATAAGAGTAGATGGTTTTAATTTTTTCTTTTTTTACATTTACAATTCAGTTTGGCAACCTACCTTATGGTTTTCGGGCAAATACATGGGTTGTTCCACCTGTAGTAGCGGATAACCCATCAGTTTTTCCCCCACTTCCAGTGGAAGATGAAAACTGGGGAGGAAATGGAGGTGGACAAGGAAGAGACAGTAAACATGAAAATAGGCAATGGGCAAAAGAGTTTGCAATTTTGGCAGCAATGCCTTGCAAAACAGCAGAAGAGAGGCAAATTCGAGATCGGAAAGCCTTTCTGCTTCACAGTTTATTTGTCGACGTTTCAGTTTTTAAAGCAGTCGCAGCAATCAAGAACATCATTGAAACCAATCAGAATACTTTAAGTGACCCTTCTGCTTCAATTTTGCAAGAAGAAAAAGTGGGAGATTTGATTATTAAGGTGACGCGAGATGTTCCTGATGCAAGTGTGAAATTGGATTGTAAAAATGATGGGAGTCGGGTTCTTGGAATGTCAGAAGAGGAGCTTGCTCAGAGAAATTTACTTAAAGGCATAACTGCTGATGAAAGTGCAACTGTTCATGTTAGTGAACTATTTCTTCTGAATTTTTACTTGGTGAACTAAGAAGGTGGGGATCTATTGCTGATATCACTTTTTTTGTCTTGTAGGATACTTCTACGTTAGGTGTTGTGGTTGTCAGACACTGTGGCCACACAGCTGTAGTAAAAGTTTCAGCTGAAGTAAATTGGAAGGGGAGTCTTATTCCTCAGGACATCGACATTGAGGACCAGCCTGAAGGAGGCGCCAATGCCCTAAATGTCAATAGGTAAGCTCATCTCTTGTCCTTTTCATTACCAAGTAGTTCTTATTCTATACACAAAGATATATTATATGCACTAACTATCCCTCAATAACACAAACACACAAAAAGAATCAAACATATGGATGCACACACAAATGAAAATGTGCACATACTTTTGAAACAATTAGATATGGCAGTGGTATCTATGTCCACTACAGGATTGTGAGATATTAATGTCTTTCTCTTACAAATACCTTTCAGCTTAAGATTGTTATTGCACAAGTTATCCACGCCTCAATCATCAGCTCAGCGATCACAGAGTGTGGATTTTGAGAATTTACATTCTGCTAGGGCTTCAGTTAGGAAAGTGTTAGAAGATAGCTTGCAGAAGTTGCAGGATGAACCCTCTAAAAACTCCAGGTCTATCAGATGGGAGCTAGGAGCATGCTGGGTACAACACCTCCAAAATCAGGCTTCTGGGAAAACCGAGTCTAAGAAAAATGAAGATGCTAAGCCTGAGCCTGCCGTGAAAGGTCTTGGAAAGCAAGGTGCATTACTAAAGGAGATTAAAAAGAGAACAGATACAAAAGGTGGTAAAACTGAACATAGTAAGGAGGTTTCTCCAGGCAACAACCTTGATATGAACAGGAAATCAGAAGTCAGTAATCAGAAGGAACTAGAGAAGCAAGATGAAGAAATGCAAACAATGTGGAAGAAACTGCTTCCCGAAGCAGCATATTTGCGACTAAAAGAGTCAGAAACAGGTCTTCACCTTAAGGTATAGCTTGCTACATTCCCAAAAGAATGACTGTCCGGAATTTGATCCATCCATCAGTTTTTTGAACTTATTTACCTGTTCTTTTTCCCCAAAATTTAACCTGTAAAATTTTTATGTATTAGGCAGCACTCTCTCTCTCTCTCTCTCAAAAGAAAGAAAAAACGTAGTTGCTTGTAGGTCATTTTTCTTTTTAAGTTTGTTATTAATGTTTCTATGGTTTGTTCATATGTCAGTCGCCTGATGAGTTGATTGAAATGGCACATAAATACTATGCTGATACTGCTCTTCCAAAGCTGGTTTGTCCCTTAACAATCAATATTTCCTTGTTCTCTGATATGTTGTGGACTTAATACATCTAGTTGGTGTGACTTCAAATCTTTTAGGTAGCAGATTTTGGCTCCCTTGAACTTTCACCAGTTGATGGAAGGACTTTGACAGATTTTATGCATACAAGGGGTTTACAAATGTGTTCTCTAGGACGCGTGGTAAATAATTTATCTCAACATTTTTCCTTTTTTTTAGAACTCATCGCCATCTTTCTTATTATTATCATCTGAATTTATAATTACTTCTATTACAGCCAGGTTATACATACCTTTATGACTGTAGCAAGTAGTAATGATAATCTGTTTTATAAAGAAGCAAAAAAATAATAATGTGCTAATGGTCTCAAATTATACCAGCAAATAGTTAAAGCTAATATAAGAGTATTAATTTCTTCTGTCAGTCTATTAGAAAATATGTCAACCAAACGATAAAAATCATATGGAGAAAAATTAGGTCACTAGGTAAGATATATTGAAAGAATATAATTTTTTTTGAATAGTGAATCTGAATCTCTTTTGAACTAATTCAATCCACCCTCAAAAGACCAAGAAAGAAAAAGAAGAAAACAGGTGGAGTCTCAATCGTTTTTACCTTTCAGAGTAATGTTGAACAGTGTCCACTAAAAGGACTAAAGTTATTACTATGCCATTAATATAATTTCTACTGAATGGTGTCAAATTTTGAGTTGTTTTTCAACCTAGTTGTGGCAATTAATACATTTAAAAGACAGTATCAGTAATGCCTTTTGCAATGCCTTTTGCAAGTGTAGATATTTGGCATGAATTTCTTGCACTATTAATCACATTTGTTCTTCTTCCCTTTATACCATTCATCTACTAAGAACAAAAAAACAGTTTTGTCTGAGTGGGGGCAACTTTAACTAGACAAAATAGTCTATAGTGTCAGTTTGTCCAAACTGTCTTGAAATGAAAAATATGTTTGAAGAGTATCTGATCTCATTTAAGTTGGACAGCGGACAGGCAGCTTGGCTTTCTTATAATTACATATTAATGGCTACTACCGAGGACTGAAATTTTGAACCCCCCTCTCTCTTCTTCCCATCTTTTCCTCTTTCCTATCATTTTAGGTTGAGCTTGCAGACAAGTTGCCTCATGTGCAATCACTCTGTATACATGAAATGGTTGTTCGAGCCTATAAACACGTGTTGCAGGCTGTTGTATCAGCGGTTGATAGTGTTAGTGACTTGGCTGCTTCAGTAGCGGCATGTTTAAATATATTGTTGGGAACACCATTAATTGAGAATGGTCACATAGATATCATTAATGATGATAAATTAAAATGGAGATGGGTGGAAACTTTCCTTTCAAAGAGGTTTGGGTGGCAGTGGAAACCAGAAAGCTGCCAGGATCTGAGAAAATTTGCCATTCTTCGTGGACTGTCCCACAAGGTACAATCATCTTGACATAGTATGAGGAATCTCAGAATAAATGTTTCTCCATCTCCATTTTCTAAATGAAATGATAATTTCTCAGGTTGGGCTTGACCTTGTTCCTAGGGACTATGACATGGATACTCCATCTCCTTTTAGGAAGTCAGATATCATAAGCATGGTCCCTGTATACAAGGTAAATAAACCACTGAGTGGAATATAAAAATGGCAATGAATTGTCTGACAATTTGACTTGACTTTGACTTGGTGACATTGTTTCTTTCCCCACAGCATGTTGCATGTTCATCAGCTGATGGACGTACACTGTTGGAATCATCTAAGACTTCCCTGGACAAAGGTAAATTGGAGGATGCAGTCAATTATGGCACTAAGGTATGTGGAAGCATCCCTTTATGTGTTGTTCTAAATGGTTTTATTCTTCAGCAACATAAATAAAAAACTGAACCAATATATCTGAATTTTGAAGGCACTTTCAAAGCTTGTGTCAGTCTGTGGTCCTTACCATCGGATGACAGCAGGAGCATACAGTCTTCTGGCTGTTGTGCTTTACCATACTGGAGACTTCAATCAGGTATTTGCTTTTTATGTGGACATTTCGTTTTCTTTTTCTTTTTTTTTTTAAAATTTGGGGGAAGGGTGGTTTCAAACCCTACTCTTCGAGCAAGGCGATTATGCACCAAGCCAAATGTACAGGTGCTATATGTGGACATTTCTATGCATGCAACACATGGTCAAATTTATCTGCATTGCTTACTAAAGGACTGAGAACTTTGAATGCTATTGGAAATCCATTGATGATCAAAAGATATAAAATAGAATAAAGTGGAATATCATCTTTTTTTTTTTTGGTATTTTTTTCTTAGGTACCTCTGTTGTCATTCTTTTTTTAAATTTACTTTATTTGAATTTGGCAGTATTGAATCAAGGATTGGTTTCTAGCCATATGCTTCTGTGTGATCTCTATCCAGATTTAATAATTCTAGTGTTTTGCGATTTCTTATCTGTTTTTCAATTATGTAGGCAACCATTTATCAGCAGAAAGCATTGGATATAAATGAAAGAGAGCTTGGACTTGACCATCCAGATACAATGAAAAGTTATGGAGACCTAGCTGTCTTCTACTACCGCCTCCAACATACAGAGTTAGCCTTGAAGTATGCTTTTATATCATTTTAATTAAAAATTTTTTTGGTTTAGCTTCCTTTGTTTTTAATTTTGAGATCTAAAATTAGTCCTAAGCCTTAGTGGAAACAGAAAGGAACTTATCCTGGTGAGATAATCCTCTTTGTGATTTCTCTGTCAAAAGGGTGCATGTTATTGATCAGGAGAGGTTTAACAATGAGTTATATTTTGCAGTTTCTGTATAGAAAATTTATGTTCATATGGTATCCTCAATGCTGCACAGTCTATACCATTTACTTGGCCACATAATGGGTTGTTGTTAGGTTATGACTTTTGAGTTATGACTGTTAAGAGCTGATATTGCTATTTCCTTTTTCTGTTCATGGTGCCTAGGATTTCTTGTAGTGGTAAAACATATATTGTAGCTTCGTCAATAGCATCAAGAATTGCAGCTTTTAGAAAGATAATTCTTATCAACTACAATATGATTGCAATAGTCATAATCAATTGTTAACTAAGTGATTACTTCATATAAACTCAGCCAGAAGAATCTGGATCATGATATATTTTATTAAATTTTGTCCCATAAAAATTGAGATGTAATTGGGTTTAGACTCTCTTGAGAATATTATTGATGTCCTAAAGAGTGTAGATTCTAATACAATGGAGTTCATAAACATCCATTGTTATATAATTGCAAACTTTCTAAATGTCAATGTTGTGGTAATCATGGGAATTATTCCTCATAAAATATGAAAGTTAGTGAGGATGAGCCTTTCCAATGATGGTATTTGTGTCACAGGAGTATTGTTGCTTGAGATTAGTAGGAAAACTTAACATTGATAGCTAAAAACTGAAACTTGATGCTGTCCACATGAGAAGTAAAACATAGTTCTTGAGAAGCAAAGCCCGTGATTTTGAGAACGCAAAAGTTCTGTTATTCTGTAGGGTGAAATTCATTCTCAAGTAACATCAAGGGATGTTTTTATTATTAGAGTTCTTGCTTACTTTTTTCTTTTCTCATTCTAGGTATGTCAATCGTGCATTGTATCTTTTGCACTTAACGTGTGGGCCATCTCATCCAAATACGGCAGCCACCTATATTAATGTAGCAATGATGGAAGAAGGGTTGGGAAATGTTCATGTTGCTCTTAGATATCTCCATGAGGCTCTCAAATGCAACCAAAGACTACTTGGAGCTGATCATATACAGGTAAACTATCGTATTAACAACTGAGAGTAAAGTAATCTCTGCTCATCATTCAATTCGATGTACTAGATTGAATCATGTCATTTATGTTGCTAAATTTGAATGAATACCTATTCACTGAATGAACTGAAACTTAAAATCTGGATTTGCATTATGAAGTTGAGCTCCTTTTTATCAAATTTAACCCAAAAACAAAACTCAATCTAAATTGAACTGAAAGTAGACTTGGAAATAATAATGTCTGTGTTTAATGTATTTCTGGCTTCTACAGACTGCTGCCAGCTACCACGCCATTGCTATTGCTCTCTCTTTGATGGAAGCTTACTCGTTAAGTGTTCAGCATGAACAAACTACCCTGCAAATACTGCAGGCAAAACTAGGGTCTGAGGACCTACGCACACAGGTAGTTTGATGTTTGATAAGTTTATGATTATATCTCATTTTTTGTAGTGATTGTCAGTCCTCAGATCCATATCCTATGTCTTCTATAGGATGCGGCTGCATGGCTTGAGTACTTTGAGTCCAAGGCCCTTGAGCAGCAAGAAGCTGCACGTAATGGTACTCCTAAGCCCGATGCATCAATCTCCAGCAAAGGCCATTTAAGGTATAATATACAAGCAAAATATATGTAGCTGAACATCAGTTCATGTTGTTCAATAGATGGTTTATTATTCATTGTCCAATTCAACACAGTTGAAATTTTTGAACCATAGGCTCAAAGGTTTCCCTAATCTTTAGTTGGCCTGTATTTTTCTGTTAAAGCTGTTGGACATTTTTACTTGCAATGATCAAGAACCTTTTTGGAATGAATAAGTGTCCTGAAAAGATATAATTTACTCCCAAGGAAACCTCTTACATTTGTGATAAATTTAATTGTGAAGTCACCCAGTTGCCCCCAACCTCTTTTCTCTTTTAATTTTATTTGTGTTGGTAAGAATTATTTATGATAGCTTCCCATTTTGGATCAGCGTATCGGACCTTTTGGATTATATAACCCCAGATGCAGATATGAAAGCAAGAGATGCCCAAAAGAAAGTCCGTGCAAAGGTTAGTCACCTAACTAATCCCTGGAAGTCCTTTTGGTTACTTATCATCTTCATATTGACAACATATCTAAGAGAAGTTTTCCCTTCAACAAACAGATGAAGGGCAAACCAGGCCAAAACTTGGAGACAGTCCCAGAAGAATACCAGAATGATGAGATTCCATCACCAACTTATCCTGTTATGGAGAATTCAAGTGATAAAGAAAACAAATCTGAAGCTCAATTCATGGAATCAAGTAATGAGAAACCTGATTCACTTCTCCCAGATCAGCCAGTGTTGATTAAAAATGATGACCAAGAACTGGATGACACCTCAGATGAAGGATGGCAAGAAGCTGTTCCCAAAGGTCGTTCACCTGCTGCTCGTAAATCTTCTGCTTCAAGAAGGCCAAGTCTAGCAAAACTGAGTACAAACTTTATGAATGTGTCCCAATCCTCAAGATACCGAGGAAAACCCAATAATTTCACATCTCCACGAACAAACCCCAATGAGCCTACTGCTTCAGCTGGACCTAGTCCTCCTGCTTCAACAAAGTTTGTTAAAAGTTCAAGCTTCAGTCCAAAGCTGAATAACCCAAGCAACACAACCGGTGGAATGGAGAGACTGGTAAACCCAAAATCAGCCCCAGCTAGCCCAGCTTCAACTGATCAAGTTACCAAGCCTACTCCAGTGGCATCTCCGATCAGCGTGCAGGCAGCTGGAAAACTATTCTCCTACAAGGAAGTTGCTTTGGCCCCACCTGGGACAATTGTAAAGGCAGTGGCAGAGCAGTTGCCAAAAGGAAATCCTCTCCCAGAACAAAATTCTCAGGCAAGCCAATTGACAGCAGCACTAGATGTCACACCTAGGGATGTGGCAACATTAACGGTTGCCAAGGAGGAAGTTCTGGAAGCCACTGGAGAAAAAGAGTTTCTAGGTTCTGAGACAGAAATCAAAAGCACCGCAAATGAAGATAAAAAAGCACAGAACAGGGAGTCAGTGGCGATTGAAGCTTTCGAGGAAACAAAGGGCACTGCAATTAAAGACATAAATATAGAAGCTGGAGCTGAAGTAAAAACTGATGTTGAAACCACAAAAACAGAAGCTGCAAATGGATTTGCAAATTCTGATTCCTGCAAGGATTCAAATAGTGTTAGTTTAAAAATTGAAGCACTGGAAACTGGATCTTTAGACAAATGCCAAGTTACATCTTCCAATGCAGAACCTCTGGCTGTTGTAACTGATAATACTGCTCAGTTGCCACAAAAAGAGGCCTCTATTCCCTCAGGAGAAGTGGCAGATGAAGATTCTCAAGAGCCATCTGGTGGTGAAGTGAGTGTTAGGCAGTTGCCAAATGAAGGAGAAAAGCAAGATGAAGCAGAAACTGGTAAAGAGACAACAAAGAAACTTTCTGCAGCTGCACCCCCATTTAATCCATCCACAATTCCAGTTTTTAGCTCACTTACAGTTCCTGGTTTCAAGGATCATGGAGGAATCCTGCCCCCACCAGTGAATATACCTCCTATGCTTCAAGTCAGCCCTGTCCGTAGATCATCTCATCAATCTGCGACAGCTAGAGTTCCATATGGGCCAAGGCTCTCTGGAGGCTATAACAGATCCGGAAATCGGGTTCCACGCAACAAGTCTAGCTACAATAGCAGTGAACATTCTGGAGAAGGGAACCACTACAGTCCTCCAAGAATAATGAACCCACATGCAGCTGAGTTTGTGCCTGCCCAACCTTGGGTTCCCAATGGCTACCCTGTCTCCCCTAATGAATTTTTGGCTTCTCCAAATGGCATGCCAATTTCACCAAATGGTTACCCCATGTCCCCAGTGGCAGCAAATGGTTATCCGGCATCACCAAATGGTGTTCCTGTGACTCAAAATGGATTTCTGGCAACTCCAATAGGATCAGTAGAACTGCCAGCTGTTGTAACTGTTGATATTGGAGCTGAAAACAAAAGTGAAGCAGTAGCGGAGCAGACTGCTCAGAGTTCCTCCTCAGAAGTTGAAGGAGAAAATCAACCAACCGAGCAGAAACCACCAAAAGATCAAACTTTAGACAATGAAAACATGCTGCCTGAAAAGGAAGGAAAGCCTGCAGATGTGGTTCCTCTGACTGGTGATGTTACTATGGCAAAAGAAGCTTGCTGTGAAATACAAGTTCATGGAAAATCAAGCAAGTGTTGGGGAGATTACAGTGATGGTGAAGCTGAGATTGTTGAGGTTACACGTTGAAGAAAACAAGATTATTTTTGGATAGTAAGTGATTTTTCATAGCCAAGGGCTATATATCACTACAGCTACAAGAGACAACTAGTGATAAACAATGCAGAGCCACTAAAGACAGGGCTATGGATGGGGAAGTTTATTTTGCAAAGTTTGTGACATGTTTGACAGTAAACCGAAGTGATGTGAATACTTTCTGATACAGTTGATTTTGCAGCACAAGGAGGCTTGTCGAGAGACTGGTATGCAAAAGGCACATACCATGACCATCATCCGTTGAGTAGTTCGTCAATGACTAGTACTTTCTGTTCTCCTTTTTTCTTTCACAAAATTTTTTGGTTATTTTCCTGCCATCACTTTTGTTGGATGTCAATGAAAAGATAAAGAACCATGGACGATTTGTACCTTTTCTAGGTTGTTTTCCTAGGAACAATAAGTTGATGTAAAATTGACTATAATAAAGCTTCAGTTTTCTTTGCTGTAAGATATAATGCAATAGCGATATCATGTGTGATTTTAGCTTTCCAGCATTAAAAGAGTATGCCTTCAAGTTTAGCATCACCCATAACAAATGATGAAGATTTAAGTGGTGCAATTTTGGCTTTCAAATCAGCATGATGGGCAATCAAATATATTCTTGAAACGTCACCAACACAACAACATGAACTGCGCTCACTTTCTGAAGAAAATCAGGTTCCTGGACGTGATACAAACAACAGGAAAAACAACCTAGACATATTGTCCTCATTACTAACATTGTCTACCTAACAGTGGAATGCCTAATACCCGCAGGTTGCTGTTTCCCGGCGAAAATCCATAATCACTAGTGTAGCAACACTATGAGCAAGTGCCCCGAGAACAACAAATACATGAAATATCTGATGGCTGTGCCCTGCAATATCAAATGCACCAGGCTTCCACCGCTCTGGTATTCTGCTAGTGTAAACTGCAGCTCCCGCAGCGTATAGAAAGGCCATCGCAAGCTCATATCCAAGGGATACGAACATGTGCGGATGGCCCCAGTGCAGGGCAACTGCATGTGCTGCCGGGATCACCCCTGAGAAACCCATTGTGAGGAATAAAGTAGCTCGAAAGGATCGGAAACGGGGTGCTGAGAGAGCAGGTGCTAGCAGAGTGATGATGGCAAGGATTCCAAGCACTGTTATGAATGTGAGATAAAAGAGCCGTGAATAGGTGTGGCAGTAGAAGGCATAATAGATGGGTGCAAAGAAGGAGCAGACGATCATAAGAGAGATGCCAGCATAGTCTAGGCGCCAGAAGAAGAGGTTAAAGCGTCTGGAATGGCAAGCAAAGAGGTGTGAGACCGAGCTGCAAACCAAGCAGCCCATAGCACCAGACAAGAAAACAAACCAGGGCCATTTTGGAATAGAGACATATTTTTCTTTCTGCAATTCATACAGAGGTGGCTGAGGAATGTGCCTTAAGTGTGAATCCTGCAAGGATGCATCGAAATCATATGCATTAGAGTTCCTTCTGATGATTTACTGCTCCTACTAGAAGGATGTGGCACAGCAGGGTGAAGAAAAGATTAAAATTACAGTATTTGATGCAAAATTTCTCTGTTCACAGATATCACATCATTTTGAACTGTCATTTAAAATGGGCAAATACAACAAGGTCTAATGATTGAAACAAAGACCTAGATTATCAAGTATACAAAATGCAAGCACAAATGGAGCACTTCAACAGTTCAGGCCCCCTTGAGCTGGTGACTTGCATAATATTGACAAGAAAAAAGGAAAAAATGAAAAAGAAAGGTCATGAAGTCCAAAGTGAGACATCAAAATTATATTATTTCTTCAAGCTGTCCACAAGTTTCTTTTATTCTCTTCTTTGTGTGGTTTCTATATAAGATAGTTGTCTTGCAGTATTAAAGTACCAAGGCTATCAAAAGATCACTAAAATCAAGCAAATGAACCTCCAGGATGGATACATCATCCTTCAAAAGATAGTCCATTTCAGACACTGAAATTCACCCATTTCCCTGCTAAAGGTGTTTTGGCCTATCGCGTCACTTGTCCATAACTCAAAGCACACGTTCCCATCTTCTTGATTACGAGACTTAACATCTGTTTTAAACGTTGAATCAAATGCAAACAATAAACTTTACAAAATCCTAAACAACTTACAGCCTATTCTCATCAAGCATTGTGAAACAATTTCATATCAAATAATATAAAAATAATAAAAATAGAATAAAATAAAAGATTAAACATAGACATGTCAAAAAGAACGTGAGTTGGAATAACATAGAATAAGACAACGCGAACAGCATCACAAATTTCAAATTTAACACTACTACTCTTTATTTATAATTAATAAAGTAACCCTGTTGAATGTTACAAGTCAAATATTGTGAATTACCAGTGACTCAGTGAGCAGCATAAATCCAAAGAGATATTAGAAAATTAGTAGCGGCCACCGCCAGATGAGTAGTCACAAATGTTATGGCCTACTTACTGCTTTAAACAAAAGAATTACCATTAATGGCAGTGAGCCAGCTTGAAAATCCTTCTTAACTCACTACTGGTACTCGCCAATTGGTCATTGCCAGCTATAAATATACTAAGTGGTAAAATATCAGGAGCAGACACTAAAAAGAAAAAGAATCACATGGTGTGGGCCCCATTTTGGTTTCAGAATGGAGATATTATCTTTTACTCTGTAACCCACCTAACCATAACTCAACAAAAACCGCTCTGTGCTGAAACGTCCCGCCCATTTCCCTTCCCTTCCCAGCCCTTCTTCCGCTCTTCCCACCCCAATCTTCACTCCCATTTATGTTTTTTGTACACCACAAAAAGTTTCCAATTAAAAAAATGGCTTTTTAAGAAAGTTTTAAATATTAAATTAAAAAAAGACAAGAACTGACCGGAATGATGCTACTGTGATTGTTATCAGAGACGTTAACATCATTCTTCATCATCATCATCATCATCAACGGTCCTGATACCTGAGCTCTGGAAACATCCCATCCCCCACGCAAGTTAGCTATTCGCTTGTAATGGAAACCCAGAAAACCCGGTCCAAAACTCAAAAAATGACCACCAGGTCCTTACCTGGAAAAACTGGTGATCAAACCTGCAGCTCCAAACTCCTCCATGGAACTCATCACCGTCAATCCAACGAATATTAAAAACCCTCCAAAATGCCTGCAAAAAAAATAAAAATATATATATGTACAAATCGAAAAAGGAAAAAGAAAAAAACAGAAAATTTTTTCTAATTATGATCGAGTCCCTTACGTCCAGATGTTTAGCGTTTCGTTGTGCAAAGAGAAAAGGCTTAACAAAATGTCTTTCAATGGCCATTCGCATCGGTAATGATCCAAAATGAACTCGTTATCTTTCAAATACTCAGGTAAGTCTTCGTACTTCGTCAATTTCCTCTTAAATCTCTTCCTCTTCTTCTCCTCCTCCTCATTATATTCAGCTGAGTCAACTCGCTCGAGTTTCTTACCATCATTCTTCACCGCGGCAACTTTTCGATAACGATGTTGATGATGATGGTGATGATGATTTTGCATGTTGCTTGAAGTTATTCCCAAATGACCTCGCCGGCGAACACCTCCGATCTTTTTCCCGGCGAGGAATCGAAATTTGGTTTTTCTTTCTTTTTATTTGGAAGGCGATATATTTATTTATTTTTAAGGCATTTCTGCTATCATTCCTGTTTACATATATATAAGCAAAACGCAAAAGCAGGGAAAAGGGGAAACGTGGAAATCCTTTTTAGTTCTCACGCTTCTCATTTTTCAAAACATTGGTTGGCTTACGTGGCATTAAACGACTGATTAAATAGAAAGAATTTTGCAAGCACTCTTTACAGAATAGGTTCTAGGTAGACTTGGGCTGTGTTTGATTATTGCCCACAGCTTTTTATTTAATTAACTATTTTTTTTTGAGTTATGAAAATTCGAATTCAAAAGAGAGGTAAGAAATCTAGAAATTATATTTTTTTTTTACTAACTTTGGTCATTGTATTTACATTGCAATCATGGATAACGCCAGCGATATTTCTTCTTTTTTGGAGTTATTTTTGTTTCCATTTCCAATCATTTTTGTAATTTTTTAATTAAATTAAAAATGTTTTCAAATATCTTATTTTCAAAATTCAAACGTGAATGTGAAGCACTGGCATGTCTTTGTTCCTTGTAAGCAACGCCCTCCCAAACTCGGGATAAACATGTAAATGAGAGCAAACCTAAATTTATTTTTATTGCCTTAGCTCATCGCTTTGCACTATTATTAAAAAAGGAAATAGGAAAGGCAACAAGTTCGAATGTTAACGGCGGATTCATGATTTAGGTGAAATAATCCATTATCAACGACTACAAGTATTTCAATTTCTCCCGCCTCGTAAAAGCAGAAAAGAATAAGGCCATTAAATTAAGATTAAATGCTTAATTTGGAATAAAGTTTTTAGATTTTTCTTAATTTAAGATCGAGAATTTTAATTGTAATAATTAATGATCAAATATTTTAGTTTTTTAAAATTGAGGATTAAGATGAAAGGTATATAGCACGTGAAAGACACGTGCATAACGTGGACCCTAACTTATCGTATAAGATACGAAAGATTAGTTTTATCAAAAAATATTTTTTGTAACGTCAAAATAATTTAAATTAGTTATAACAACTTTTTCATTACGATGTGTAATAATTAAATTTTTCAATATAACGTATAATAATTAAATATTTAACATAACGTGTAACAACTATATTTTTCAATATAATGTATAACAACTAAAATTTTCAACATAACGTGAAACAATTATATTTTTTAACATGATATTTAATAACTAAATTTTCAATATAACATATAACAACTGTATTTTTTAACATGACAAATAACAACTACATTTTCAATATATTATGTACCACTACATTTTTCAACATGACATTAATAATATTTTTTTCACAAAAAGTAATAATAATATTTCCCAACATACCATGTCATCAATTTACGCTCTATTCACTTGTCAACTTAGCCCTTAATTGTAAGAAATCAAAAATATTAAATTTGTAATTATTATAATTGAAACGTTTGACTCTTAATTAAAAAAATGACTAAACATTTAATCCCAATTTAAGCATTTAACTTTGAACTAAACATCATGTTACATTGGGGGTTGTGGTAGCTTACTGTATTTATTTGTTTATTTATTTATTTATTGAATGGCTATATTAACTTTAATTAGGTAAATTCAACCAACTAGCAAGTTTTGTATTAAGTTTTGTTATTTTTATTCCACACTAGGTAGTATTATGTCCAGGTCTTACAGCTGCTCCATCAAATTATTGTTAATCTAATATGCATAATTTTTATGAAATATATGTATTTGTGATCAAATGAAATAATTAAAACTCTGTATTATACCTTAGATATGGACATTAAATAAGGTCATGATTTGGATTTTCATTATATTTTCATGTTTTACTTTAGGGTTAAAGTTTGTAAATCTTCAATTTGATGTCTAAGTATTTGTTAAAATTCTACTTAGAATAAGAAAAACGTTTAAAGAAAAAAAATTAGTTGCATTAATACTACCCAAAAACTAATAAATTAGTTTTAATTAATTTATTACAAAAAATAATTTATATTTTATTATTTTTAATGCATTAGTACATATTTATTGTTACTTATCCTATTTTTACGTTATTATTATCATTTATAAAAAAAAATTGACATAATGCTCAAAAAGCCTCTAAATTATTTAAAAAAATTCAAATAACCACTTATTATTCTATTACGTTAAATCAAACTCTTATATTTTTATTATGAATCAAATAAGCTCTTGTAACTAATGTTTGATTAATTATTATTATCAAAATATACTTTATTATTTTATACTCACATGATACTAATGTATAGAGGATGAAAAATGTAATAGGACCATATAATCTTCTCACATTAACATATCACATCATCATTAATTATGACATGTTAATATGTCACACTAAGACCACATTAGTACGAAATGATATAGAATGACAAGTGATATTTAACTAAGTCAATAATTAATTATAAAAATTTATTTGATTTAAAATAAAAATATAAAAATTTACATTAATAAAAAATAAAAATAATCAATTAAGGAAAGTTTACTTTAATAAGGATTTCAATATTAACTCGTACCTAAGAATAGTTTACTTTCATAGAGAGTTTACGATTAATAAGAAAATAAATAAATTAATATTAGTTAATATTAATTTCATAAAAGTTTGATAAAATTTATTGTAATTGATCACCAACTTTGTAATCTCCTAATTTTTTAAACTTCTTTAATGATTCCGGGAAATAAAGATTCTAGAACTTTTAAGTACCTAACAGATGGATAAAAATTAATCAATATTTAATTTAGTAAGAATTTCAATGTTAACTCATAAATAAGAATAGATTACTTTAGTAAAAAGTCTAGGGTTAATAAAAAAATCGATGGATACAAATTTTTTGAAAAAATACAGAGTCCTCGATAAATTTAATAGTGAGATTTGAAGGCAAATGTTTTTAGATGAAATACAATCTTGGGCTTGTTATTAACTCTGATATTTTGTTTCTTCAATATTCATTGATATATAGTAATTTCATCTTTTATATATATATATATGTATGTATGTATGTATGTATATCTTTATCTTTGCTAACTCTCTTTGGAGGCTAACACTACATTACGAAGTTAGTACGTAGTTGGGTTTTTAGGTACATAAAAATTGAAGAAACTCGAGCAGCGGATAGGTAAAGGACGATATGTTGTTGCCGGCACTCACTGACGGCTTGCATCGTGGTGGAAAAGTTGGTTGAACCACCACATATTTCAATGCCAAATACACAAGGATTTTCTCACCGGTGAAGGCTAAAAAGTATGTTTTATTTTTATTAAATGCTGACCACTTTTTTCTCTCGGCAACTTGTTCAACAAACATTTTCACCAGAAGTTAAGTTTATTAACTGGTTTACTCCATCCAAAGGTTGTTAACCTGTTACATTATCCGATCCTCAAGGTTTTGATGATAAACAAGGCAAGTAATTTACGTGGTATTGATCGAAGGGATGACGATGTATAGTAGACTTAGTTGAAAATAGGGAAGAGGGACTTGGCTCAATTAATTTGTGAGCCTTTTTTATGAGTTTATGAAGAAGCTTGATTAATTGATCAAAAGGGTTAGTCTAAGGCAAGGTTGAGCATCAATTGGTTAAAATCGTTTGGTCAATCGATTTTGACGGTTTTTGGTTGGCATCGGGTTGGTTATTTGGTGTCGGTTAACAGTTACAGTTTGATCGATTGATCAACTTGATCGTTGACGGGAACCTGTAAGGTGAGGGTTGATCATGCACTATATATAAATAAAAAAAATAAAAATAAAAATAACAACTTAAATTATACCCCACCCTATTAGAATCTCTTTCTTATCAAATTGAGTATAAAATTAAATTAAAAAATAAAATATATGATCATATCACTTTATCTAAATAACAAAGATCGATGAATCTTTTATTAAACTACCAAATCAGTTTTCAAAAAACTCAACCACTTTTGTTTGATTGTTACAAATCAAAGTTGTCCAAAGAATCCTCGTATAGCTTATAATGATAGTTCATACTAATGAATTAGAAAATTTTTCTTTAAAGATTAAGAGTGGTATGTCTTAACAATATGCTAGTAAAAATGAGTTTCATAAACTCATAATCTACACAAAAATTTGAGGCTGAACACACAAAAGAAATGAAGTGAATGCAAAACTATTTTGTTTTTATCACAAGGGATGGCAAGGCAAAACGAATTTCTAGTGTGACATTATTCTAATTTGTAGCCACTCACTTATTTTTGTTTAGAGAGTATAGCAAAGTATTTATACTTTGAATAAATTTTAAACCCTAATTACAAAGCTATTTTGCAATTACTAATTAATCTAATAATTTAATTAAATAATTTAATTAAGTTTTTAAAAAATTTAATTAACTTAATTATTTAATTTAATCAATCAGGGCCAATAATTTAATTAAATGATTCAACTAATTAAACATAATAATTTACTTAAACAATTTTAATCAATTAGGTCCAATGACTTAATTAAACAATTTAATTAATTAAGCTCAATAACTTAATTAAATAATTTTAATCAAGTATTTGAGAAGCTATAACTTCTAATTTGATTAAGTCTAACTTAATCACCTCTCCCATTCTATTTTCAACATTTATTTTAGGTGTGTGATCCATTAGGCTTCTAACATGTTATCGATTATAATTCTTGAATTAAACTTAGAATTAGATAAATTTAAACTACTTTAAATTTATCATTAACCAAGTCAACTATCGAAAGTTCATAGACCAAGATTGAGATCTAGTAATCTATCATGGCCATCCAAATGTTAGAAGAGTAAAAATGATTTGACTCGACCTTTCAATGATAAGCCTTTTAATGTAATTCGTTGCCTTATAATATATTTCGAAGATGATAAGAGTATGATGCAGTGTTTACTCTTATTAATCTCCATATTCATTTTTTAAGTTTGATCATTAACTTTATAGATACTTCTGAAACTCTTTTTATAATCTTTAAGTCATCTTGATCAAGGATTTCAATAAACTAATATAAACCAATAATATGTCTATTAAATCACTTCAGATAATGATTCTTATTTTGACCACTTATGTACCTTCACATGCTTTA